TGACGTCGTTGTTGCATTTTAGTGTTTTTCTTGTTGGGTTTTCTTTTTTGAACAGCTATAAACTTTCTTCAGATGTGATCTTTCAAGAAACCAAAGACGGCGCGAGAATCTAGAAAACTTCTTCTTTTCAAAAAAGACTTCATTTCTTCCTCGAGCCCATTATTTAAAAATTCACCGTTGTGATTTTGTAGTGACAAGTTTCAGACGACGCTAATCACAACTTTGGCGCAGTACCATTTGCAGTTTGTCTGAAGACTTGAGTAAGGGTATAAAACAAATCTTTTCTTCAAAATCATTAGAAAATGGTTCATTCGGTGCCGACTGATCCCATCTGCATTGCGCCATGCATCTGATCCCCACACAGAGATATTGGAAAGGTGTAGCTTCCGAGTAAGGCTTCATCGTGCAAGCAGACGTCCAGAGAGGTCTATGTTGTGAAGTATGGTGTCTTCGACGGGTAGCATAGCTTCTCTTTATCGTAGCATATGGAACAACCGTAAACTGAAGCTCACTCTGTCGTACGATAACGTTTCTTTCAATTTTTCAGGTTCTTCGAATGTAGAATGCTTATACATACATCACACTCGATAGTGATATGAGCTTATGAGCGAAAACAATCCCGCTAGAAAAAAAACAAGAAATGCAACAGAATGTTCGAATTGACCACAGTGAAATCTTCTTGCCTTCTCCGCTGCGGTTTAGATAGCGATTCTTGTTTTTTTGATTGCGGTGACGTAGATGTTGTAGAAGTGGGAGTGAGATGACGTTTCTTTTCATTTTTTTTCAGGTACTTCGAATGTCGTAGAAATGTGTTCTTCGTTTGATAGCTTGTAGTATAGCATTCAGTACCATCTTCTCCGGAAATTGTTAAGAATTTTAATGTAAACTCCCACTGTTTCTGAAGATCGCCTTCTTTTACTCTGAATGCCCATTCGCTGCTTAGATTTGTTCATCGTCTTCTGTTCGGGGTGATTCCTTGAGTTCAAATGGATCGAGGGAATCTTTGGGTACTATGGAGCATCCTGAATCGATGTCACCGTGTACGCATGTCAATGGTCGGCTGTCTGGATTGATTCCCATTCTTTGACTATTGTGAAAAATTGCTTTAACATCAGCTTTCGAATTAGGGTGATGGTCTTGAATGATTTTTCGAAGCTCTTGGCTATGTTTTTACTTGCCACGGTGCGGGAGCGGGAATGAATTCGAAGTAGTTCTTCTGCTGGGTACGGTGGACGTGAAGGTGGACAAAAGGGCTTGGGGGTTGAATGACAATGCTGGGTTGAAAGCTCCGTCTCTTTTCCTTAGAGGTTTTGTCTTGTTCACTACACAAACTTGCTGATTCTTCTTCTCCTCGCCCGAGTTGAAAGTGGCTGAATGTGCTTGTCGATTAGACGTCAGTTTCGTTCTTGCAGCGTAGTTTAGAATTGTGGACGTCTTCGTTCCTTTTTGTATAGTCCGCTGCTTGTTTGCAACACCTGCTAGCTTCACTTCGAATAAAGGCTTTATGCGGTCGCGATGATCATCTTCATCATAACGTGTTGGTTTGTTGGAGGCTTTAGGAAAGAGGTCGTAATTTTCGGAGCCTGCCTGACATGTATTCCATAGGCCTTCTCAAATCATGGTGCGATTGGAGATGACTTCCTATTTTGGTGTACACGAAGGTGATGGGCGAGAGCCTGCTCCTGCTTATCGAGGAACATCTTGGGTATCTTCCGCCCTGGTACTCGTATCCACGTCTTCTGTCTGGGCTGTGAAAACTTTACTGATATGTAACTCAGCCAAAGTGTCTTTTTTGCCCCCTCTACCCTGTATATGAGTGAGTTGAGCTACTGTCTAGGATGTCTAGAGTTCCCACTTTCCCTTGCCGTTACTTGGGTTTCAATGTGACCTCAGTGTACATGACTAGAATTTCTTCATTATTCGTTTGCGATTCATCTTTCTCCACTTCACTTTGTTGTTGTGAGTAATATGATCGTTCCTGGTTTCTCTTTTTGTCCCTTATACTTTACTTTAGTCCTTGCCTCTGTCGTCTCGCTGGAGAAGTTGACTAAGTTCTCGGAGGTGGTGGACTTGTTATACTGCTTGTCGTAAAGATCTTGACTTGCCTCGCCCTTGAGGTTCTCCCGTGTGAGCCAGTTTTTTGAAAAATTTTTGGCAAATGTGTTGTTATCTCTACCTGACAGGGACTGTTTTCGAACTGTTTCACGTGATAACAAAGGAAAGGATGATGGTTATGATTATTGCACGGCGTCGATCACATGAATTTGTTTTATGATTCCGTCGTAAACATACGAGATATAGCTCATTTTTGTGAGTTCGGTACCATCTTTCTTCCGGTGTGCTGAACTCTCGGCACTGTAAAGCATCATGATTAGCTTTGAAGCGAAGGGGACAAAATTTTTGGTGTGAAATTAGGTCTTTGGTCCGTTCAGAGTCTCTTGATGCAAACGCCGTCCCATACAGTAACGGCTGGAATTATAAGAATTGACGGCGTTTCTAACTGGTCTCTTTTCTTACTACTTCCGCCAGCAGATCAACTAACTGGCTAGGAGTGAGGTTCATTTGTCCTTCTGTTGCGTCGTAGATTTTCGACTGGACAAATCCAGGGCGTTTGTTGTAGAGGAGGGCCCCCTAACCCGTATTCTCGTATACCTGGGATGATTGAGTTATATCGTCGAACAAGACGCAGCATCGTCAAGTAGAAAGCCTGCAGTTGTCTTCCTTCTTGGTCGCACTGTGGGAGACTTGCCAGCTTGTAAATTAGGTGACGAGGAACTTGCGGGTTGTTGTACGTTTGACATAAGATGTCAACTGCTGTATTGTGGTCTTCTGAAGTGACTGGTAGTCCCTTTGGTAGACGTATTCTGGGGCTCGCCCTTTCCAACTCTTCAGGAATGAGAACTTTTCTGTTTTATAAACAGTCGTTTTGGAGTGTGCTCAGGAGTCGTATTCTGCCTAAAAGGCAATTCAAGGTTCCCGTTGTGGGCAGCTTGTCTTGGAGAAAAGGTTGTGTCGAACAGGTTCATATGCGAAGTGCTGAGGACATTTTCATGTAGGTGACCCGGATTCATGTTACTATGATAGTTACAAGTGCACTTACATGACACAGAGATGCTTGCCTTGATTAATTCCTGGATTCCTAGTGATGTAGTAGAGACGTTGGTTCCTGCTTCTTCGTATTGCTGGTCATTCTGTTGTTTCACGGTGGCCAAGGTATGAAGTTCGGGGTCTTCGACGGGTAGCATAGCTTCTTTATTGTCGTAACATCTGGAGTACAACCGTAAACTGAACCACACTGTCATGGGTGGGGCTTATATCACACTCGATCGTGATATGAGCTTATTGGTGAAAACAATCTGAGCGCATACGGCGTTCTGTTTATTTATCAGTTCATGACGTTATGGGCGGCCATCGTATTTCTGAATTGCCAGTTACCAACATTGACTGTCTTGCCTTCAATGTCTCTTCAGTTTTTTTACAGCTAGAACCACAGATCTTTATCAGTCGGTGACTATGCAACATCCAGGCATGCTGCTCTTCCCATTCTGAATGATCTTAGTGCTTACGACCTCCATCCTTATGTCAATTAGAGACCTTCCGTTCCACGAGGAACGATTGCCAGTCTAGCGGAAATATGTGTATAGTGTGTATATATTTTGAATGTGTGTAGCGTCCTTGTTTTCCTTCTGTCTTCTTACAAACGCGGCTCACGCTGCAAGTCCTTCGAATTCCTTTTATGCACACTGTATACTCCTGCCAAACATAGCGAAATGGTACCAGCGTTACTGAACGCTATTTCTGCTTTTCGTCATTGCGTCAGTCATGATTGTGACAGTTCGACAGAGTGTAAAGGTTTTCCTGTAAGTTTGTATACAAGAGATTACAGAGTCCGATAACAAGTTAATGTCGGTATTCCAAGATAAGCGAAGCCACACAAGAATTTGATATTTGTTATTAAGGCATTGCCCGACAGACACGAAAGTGATCAGAAGTTGGCTATTCAATAGAGAAAAACTAGCTTGATGAGTAAATAATGCAGGAAGGAAAAAATCAGACAAGCAGAGGTTCTCAGAAACATCCACAATAAAATTGCTCAATGGACATTCCCGCGCTGCGGTTCTATGCAACTTCGGAGTAAGCAAAATCGTTTTTCGCAAATCTCCAGGTTAAGGATATCATTACGAAAAGAAAAGAGGAAACGAAAAGCAAAAAAACCAGCGGACGAAAACATCTTTGAAGATAAAAAATTTTACAAACCTGCGCCCAAAAATTATGGACTACGGTAGCATGCATCTTTTAAGTTGCGTTTGAAGCTTTAGCACTCGAAAAATAGCTCTGTGGATTTTATTGCATTTTACTTTGCAGATGGGTTATATTTGAATGATGTGGTATACTGGAATGTAAATGTAAAGAAGCAGAATACTTAATATTCGCACCGCGTGATCAGCCGGTAAGTAAAAGCACTTAACGATTAATGCCCCGCCTACAAAGAACAGACTGAGCGGCCTGTCAAAGGAATCTGAAAGTGGCGAGTCAACGTCTTGGCGGGTACCGCTTAACGAATTTCAGCGGATGTATGCTCGATCTCGCTCCTGTGAGTATGCGGCGTAGAATAGTCTCTAGCTTGGGGGATGGACTACTTGCACAAGGAAGGACGACCATGTACTACTTGAGCGCGGGGGCTGTCTCTAAGTGTTCACAGCTTGCCCCTCCTCACCAAGAGTATTATCTACGAAATTCGTCCTGCTTCCAAATTCCAGTTCTTCGGATTTCAGTTTATCGTTGGTAGCATGGTATTGCCCCAAAAGTGTCACGACAGTGGGCTCTTGCTGTTGGCAACGCTCAACGCCTCATGCATAGGTTTACAAGATTAGATATCTAAAACAGGTTTCAGGAGACGTGAGAAGTTCTTAAAAAAAGTCCAACTTCCGTTCCACAGTAAAAACGAAAAGTCAACCGAGTTAGCATTTCCCGAGAAGATAAAAAAGTAGACAAAAAAACTACCTTCCGCGAGTATGTTGATCGATTCCTCTCTCCGCGATGTTCATGATATCCTTTAGTGCTTTTTTCAGACTGTTTGCCCTACCCACCAACGAATCACGCCTTCTTCGCTCTTCACTGGCAGTACCTGTAGGGAGAACAGTGGAAAGCTCATTTTTTTTCTTCACTGCTTCTCTGATAACGACATTGAAGTTGAAAAGGTAACTATTTCAAAAAAAGCGCCAGTTTCTGAATGATGTCACTCACGTTCATCATCTTCAGGTTCAAATCCGCTTTCCTCCACCTTTTCCTCTTCTGAACTCAAAGATTGCATCAAAACGTCTAGCTTTCGCAAAAGAGTGGAACATCTGAAAAATCACATGTTTGGGAAGGTAACAAATGATAACTGAGTATTAGGATTTACTTCTCCGTGATGGGATCGCTGGGCAGACAACCGGCTTCCCTTTCCCATTGTTCCACTTTTGTGTAGGTGGTTGTGATTTGTTCCATTAGACCGCGTACCGTCTCACATAACGATCTGAAACAGCAGTGCAGAGATAACCTTAAAGGACAGGCAACTCACGCTGTCAGGTTCTTCGGCATTAACGCGAGGTTTAATGGAGTTCGGTGAGAGTACATGCACATACAATTAGAAGGATCGCGATCGAAAGCCGTAATTTCACTCTAATATAGCCAATTAATATCAAATTGAGCTGAGCGTACAACAATCTGTCTCAGACTATCTTCTGTTCTAAATTTGATCCTGCTGCATACAACTAGCTAAGAATGCTCTGTTCCGTAGAAACCTACCATGATGGACTAGGCGCTGCGCACAGGCCTACTGGTAAAGAGTGAAAAATTGTAAGACCCAAGCAGAAAACATAAGAACAGCAAAGTTTAAGAATTACAACAAAAACTAATCATTTCACTACTTACTTCACGGCTCGAAAAACGTCTCCAGGGTCGTCGGCATCCATCACGGCGCACAACTTTTTCGTTATGGTCTCCTCATACTGCCAAACAGCAACTGCTTGCGGTCCTTCTATCGACAGCACGCTCCAGCTAAAAATGGCAATGGATATAATTTTACTAAAGGTTCTGGGAATGCATTTGAAGACCATAGTACGCTCACAAACATTGAGGGTGTATGAGACTATCAGCCCCCAGCTGTCGATGTGTCGTGTCCCCCCGCCCAAACATGCCCAGGAATGGAGATACAGGACCGTGAAGAGACGCCCAATTCCTCCATGCTCCGCCTTACACCTTTTTGCGGCGCAGATTCCCGTCCTTCATAACATCCGTCGTAAGCGCGCGTGTCGCGTGCGGCTCCTTGGCACTTTGCCAAGTCCTTTAATTGCGCTCTCAAATACGAGTAAAACGCAATTTCCTGATGCGGATAACATTGGAGGTGCTACAAAATAAGAACAGAAGATGATGACGAGGTCAGAACTTAAAAGCAACCGTGTGCTAACTGTCTGCAACATCCTCAGAGCGGCGCTTCGGGCAAGTGCGAAGATGAAAATAAAAACGGCATAAACTTTCGTGTAGTTATGATGCAAGCAAAAGGCAATTTCCTCGATGGGCGAATGAAAAATTTAGGTGTTGCTCATGAACCCCTTTTTTTTCAAATGCCCTTGTACAAGGAGATGAAGATGGGACAGGCTAGAATGAAGCACAACGAATGTAATATTGTAAATAAAACGAAAAATGAAAAAAATCAAGGAAAGGCAAATTAGATAAAATCGCCTGTAAATTTCTACGATCCGGCGCGAATCCGGCGCCAAAGCCATAGAAATACTTAGAACAAACGAGTGGGACGCTTGGGTTGTTTTTATTCTCATGTTTTGTGGGAATGCGCGGCCGCTAACCATGGATATGCAGACGCAGGGGACCGAGATTGGAGCTCCTATGTGATTCTGACCCTGTCATCATTCTTCTTGTTCTTATTTTGTAGCAGCCATCCAAATTTATCACGCATCAGGAAATTTGCGTTTACTTGCAATGTTGGAGAGCGCGAGTTAAAAGATTATAGCTAGAAAGTGCCGAGGCGTCGCCGCACGCGACACGCGCGCTTACGAACGGATGGTTTTAAATGAAAGGACGGAATCCGCGCCGCGAATTCTAAAAAGAGGTGGTAAGGCGGAGGCATGGAAGATTAAGCGTGTTTTCATGGTCCTAGTAAGTCTTCCTTACCTGAGGCATGTTTGGGCTGATGGGAAAGGGGTGGGGGGGAGGGGGGGAGGACCAATCGACACACTCGACAGCTGGGACTGATAGTATCATACACACCTCATGTGATTTTGAAGCCTACCATGGTCATGTCTTTGAGTGCTTGCTAGTCACTCAAGCCTCTCTGACGAATAAGCTATTATATCCGCCCCTTACCCTCAAGAAAGGAGTGTGCTTCAGCATTATTTTCAGGGAATAGAAGTGGTCTATTCACCAAGCAAATCGGGAACAGCGGCATAGGTGAGAGTATGGAAAACGCGACAGGCTAGGGCCAAATACAATCGGAACATCAATCTTTTTACCAGAATGTATGGGATAACCACCTTCGAAACTAAGCATAAGGTACGTGTCAGACTACTTTCACTCAGCATAAGAACATTTTCTGAATAGCTTAGAACATAAATTTCACTTTTAATCATTGATCAACATACCGATCAAGCATACGCGTATGGGCTCGTTCAAACGTTCTCAAAAGTTGCGGCAGTTGAGTATCATCGTAAAAAGCGTGTCCCCATCCTAGTACACGAGCCAGATCATTTCCAGTGCCAAGTGGTAGAATGGCAAGTTGACACTAAAGATAGTAAAGCTTTCGTTCGAAGGTGACTGGCAACTAAATCAATGTCATTTTCAGTACTTCAACAATTCGAGTACAAAAAAAGCAAAACAAAAATACAACAACGTTACAAATGATTAACCTTATTGTGGAGCGCTAAACGATCAAAAGCTCCGAGAACCCAACCAACAGTACCGTCGCCACCACAAACGAGTACTCGGAAGGAATCGAGGGCATCAAAAAAGGAAAGCCTGAAACAATAGGAGGTGAGGACGAACAGAAAATTTTTCGAGCAGGAAACTCACGCAAAATCAGGTCCCGTCGCAATGATGTCAAACACTTGCAATGGATTCAACAGGCGCTTGAACTTTCGGATCATACGCTGCCCTTGGTTATCACCAGATTTCGAATTAACGAGTACGAGTAATGGAGAGCCACCACCGCATTCACCACCTGAAAAAAATCTTCTCCAGAAAAGGCTCCATAAAATATGAATCAGCACATAAAACGAGAAATGTTTGAAAAAACTCAGCATAAAGCAAAAACGATAACGAATCCCATCAGTTTATTGTTTATTGTTCATACGTTGCATAAGGCAAACTAAATTTGCAACTTAAATTTACCTATAGCATCTGTTCGGATCTGCGCTACACCTTCTTTCGAAATATCCTTCACTGCAAGAGGGGGAATCACTGACAATGAAGTGGCGCCTAAGGAACAACCACGACCCAGTTGTGGTAGGCAGGACGAGTGCACACAGCAGGCACACCAAAGACACCGCCAATCCTTAAAAACATAGGATTGAAAAATTCAACCTGCAGTATCGAAGGTCTCGATACTTTGAGAAAAATGCATATTAAACATTGCAAAAAAAACTCACTGCTAATCTCAAAACCGATCCACAAACTTTTTCACAAACTACACATTTTGAAGACATGGCTAGATTACCTTCAACCCATTGATGAGCCACTATTGAATTCTGAATACTCGATAATACAGCATAAAAAGCAGTCAGCATAAAAAAATGTACTGCGGACACCTTACCTCTGGACTTATGTATTGCAAATGGCTCGGTACTGTACATTCAATTGTCCATTTACATTTCTCAGCAATGCTGGTTATGCACTTCTTGTGAGCCTTCATTTTGCAAGCTGAGAAGGAAGATTAGGGAGAAGGCTAATGAAACTGACGAATCGCAAAGTAAACCGAAAACCACGGTTCCGTTTGAAAAAGTGAGACGCACACCCAGTCGCAGCGTGGGTAGGATGAAAGGAGGAGAGTAGGAAGTAAAAAAAAAAGAAAAAATAAAGAGGAATAAAATGTAAGGATGTTTTCACAAATATCTATGTCGAAAGCACAAAACAGCAGTGGTTTGAGTTTTCTTTTATTACGATAACGGCTGTTTAATTCTAATTCGCATTCCAATGATTAACACAAGGATCTCAGTATTGTGCTGTCCCGGAGCCTCTATAGTAATCAAATGTCAAAACTGATGTTTTGTCAAGCACGAAAAACTTTTATTGCTAAAGACTCCAAGCCAAAAATTGCAGCACAGTAACAGCCAATTTTTTTTTCATTTGCTGTATTTTCGAACGGTGAGAATGTGCTTAGCACGGAATATTCAAAGAAAGAAGTTTACTGAAATTTCGGGTCTTTGGCAATATATATTTTTGGTGCTTCTTCATGTTTTCACATTTATCACAAAAATGTTGAGCTTTGAGCAAAAGACTTGACCCCAGGCGGGAATCGCACCCGCACCACACGCTTTTTGCCTTCTTGCATTAGCTCATGGGAAAGAGAAAGGAGGTGAAGCGCGTTCTTCAGTTCCGTCCAGATTTAACTCTTTTGCCAATGGTTTGTGATAGCAGTAGGGTTGTCCATAACAGTTATGTGCAAGCTGGGTTGAGGACGTCTCACTTGTGGAAAAGTGTATAGAAGACTCACTTTCACAAGACCAGCCGTGCCATGTCAGACCGGAAAGCTTTTCTCGGCAATAATTACAGAAAGTTGGCCGGTGATGATTCGTCTGAAAAATTTACCAATAGAATTTTTTGAATAATCAGCGCTGGTGGCTGGCTTCCTCAGCTTCATGCTTCTCTTTCCAACTTCATCTTCAGTCTTGCGAGCGTTGGCGGCCGCAGGTTCACATCGAAACTGACTTCTATTCTATTTTCCATGTTATCTTCTATTTTTGTATTATATTGACAGGGTTATTCTAGACTTCAAGGAACGAAAGAATGATTCAAAATTTTGGCACTATTGAACTATTCCTACCCCAAAAACTCAAAAAAATTTTTCGCTGAAACGTTGCCTATAGATGTAATTCGATGCGCTGATCACGAATATCACATCCGTTTCGAGCGCTGGCGTCATTTGGCGCCATTATGCGCCAATTTGGCGCCCACCACTTTTTTCACCAAAGTCGATGAAAACTTGCATATGGGGGTTAACCGACATCCTGATTACGAATATCACACTGGTTTTGAGCGCTGGCGCCATTTGGCGCCATTATGCGTTAATATGGCGCCAAATTGGCGCGTAATGGCGCCAAATGGCGCCAGCGCCAAAAATAAATGTTGGATTCGTAATCAGGACCTCAATTAACCCCCATATGCAAGTTTTCATCGACTTTGGTGAAAAAAGTGGTGGGCGCCAAATTGGCGCATAATGGCGCCAAATGACGCCAGCGATGTGATATTCGTGATCAGGGCATCGAATTACACCTATAGGCAACGTTTCAGCGAAAAAAATTTTTTGAGTTCTTGGGGTAGGAGTAGTTCAATAGTGCCAAAATTTTTTTTCAGGGCAAGGGAGTCGGGTCGGGAGGTGCTATGGAGACAAACGACAAACTTACAACGCACTTGCAACTGAGCAGCAGAGCAGCAGCGAAATAAAGCTTCATTTTCAAATAGCAAGAAGAAGCAAGATTTTCAAGAAATGAATTGTTAGGCTTTAATACAACCAGCCAACATGTTAGATACTAATGATACAAAAAAGCTATTGAGAACCAATCCAGCTATTAGACAAGAAAAGAAACCAGATTACCTGATACCACTGATGTGAACCAGATGTTCCTTCAAGCATCGCGTCTACTGCACCAGCCTGAAACAATGTTCTTAACTGAACACCCTACGGGATTTTGTGGAGGCGATTATGCCAACAGCTGATACAATATAACAAAGATCGCGACAGATTCGAGTGCTGATAAGAGAACGGGGACTGATAGAGCACAAAAGAGGTCGGAGCAAGATATGTGGAGTAGAACTAATGGAACAACGTGATTATGGTGTCCGTTCGGGAGTGTTCCTACCTAGCAGCTAAATCGACAATCGAAGAAGCTGAGAAACCGCGAAAAAGGCTGAATGCAGATTTACTGCTTTGACTATCGCTACTCGAGTTGGAGAAATCCGATGCATATCCATTGTTTTCGTAGAATCTCTAATTCTCTTAATATTTCCGATTATGAACACGGTCTTAACACTAGTAATGAAAGTCTGTCGATCTGTCGGACTATATGTTAACCTGTTCGTATGCAAAATGCCCTTTCATT